GGTTCAAAGCCAGCCTCAGCAATGGCGAGGCACTTAGCAACTCAGTGAGGCCCTATCTCTAAATAAAATACAAAATAGGGCTGGGGATGTGGCTCAGTGGTCAAGTGCCCCTGAGTTCAATCCATGGTACAAAAAAAGCAAAAGAGTTAAATTAAAACATTGATGCTGTTGAGAGTGGTAGTGTAGCGAATACTTGATTTTATAATGAAATGAAAAATGCATTGAAATTAAATACTAATTGAGAATTACCACTTTCCTCCATAATTTGGCCTTTCAGATACTTGGACTTGTCCTTTGGCTATCTCTTCTTTGGGAAATACATGATTTCAGGGATAACCAAGGGTGCAGTAGCTGTGCTGCTAAGAATCTCAGTCTCAGTGGGCAGGGAATGTGACTTTCGTTGTTAGAGGGCACAGCCTTTTGCTGGACAGTTAGAATAAATGTAATAAAAGGATGTGAAAGTGGGTTTTTGTGGAGCTTTGAGAGAGGAGGTCAGTCTTGCAGTTGTATTTTGAGATGGAGCAAGATCTAAAGAGAGAGAAAGTTCCAAGGAGGAAGCTGGGAAAAAACTTGTCTGTTCACAAAGCAGGAATAAAGTGGAGGTTGGAAGAGATCATTGCAACTGATTAGCACGGCTAATTGAAAATTCCGCAGGTAGAGTTACTGCTGAGTGAGGGAAGGACAAATCTCTCTCTCCTAGGCATTTGGAGCTTGTGAGATGGCCAGAGAATTCCTCTCCTACTGAAAGGTTTAATGTATCTAGCCCTTTTCAGTTTGGGGCTTTTTTGTTGCTGTCCACACACCCCCACCACCCCCTTTTTTTCCCTTCCTTTTTCTCTGTTAACTTTGCTTTTGATGCTAATGGGGAGAGTAGGGAAAGGAGTGGTGGGTTGAGTTCCCTTAATCCATCCCTGTCATAGATATTTTTAGTGACAGACTGACTGCTTGACCCTATGTTTTATTTTCTTTTGGATGTCCAAATATATACCCCAGTCCTCACAGACATATAGGATCAGTTGGAAGTGTCTGGCATATGATTATCTATCCCTTGTTCCTGGAGCAGGGGCTGAGACCCTGCCATATATCCTTTGCACCCCTCCTGCCTTTGAAGTTTAATTAATAATAATAGGAGGGGCTAGAGTTATGGCTCACTGGTTGAGCACTTCCCTGGTATGTGTGAGGCCTGGATTTGATCTTCAGTACCACATATAAATAAATAAATAAAAGATCCATTAACAACTAAAAAATATTTTTTAAAAATAATAATAATAGGGAAGAGGTAATATGCAGGTTAAGTATAATAACCGAAATTAGTGGATAAGGAGGTAGATCTGAGAACATTGTCAAAGTAGCTGAAAGAAAAGCTTAAAGAGAGAAGTTAAATGATAGGATGGGATAAGGTCACACACATTCTCATTCTCTCTCTCTCTCTCTTACACACACACACACACACACACACACACCTATAAAGAAGAGAAAGGAAAAAGGGGTGAAGCATATTCAAAGAGATAATAATTGAGAATTTTCCGGACTTTTAAAAAGGTAAATACTTAGAACTTTGGTTAAAAAGCTCAATAGGTTCATTATATATAAATAAAACTAGATGCACGGTGGAGAGGTTACAGTAGAGAAACGGAGTCATCAGAGAGTAAACATAACCTACAACTAAGGACATTTATACTAACAACTGTGGTAGAAACCAGAATAAGCATTAAACAATATCTTGAAAATGCTGAAAGAAAATAAACCAGCCTAGAATTCTGCATCCAAATTAACTATCATTCAAGAATGAGAATGAAATAAACTTTTCATATGACTAGGATTCTTCTACTAATGGATGTTCACTGATAGGATTTTGAGAAATAGATTTCATTTCAAAAAAAGAAAGCTGAACTTAGAGAAAAGAAGTAGGAATAAAATGGAATGGTGAGCAAATATATATGGTAAATATAAGTAAGCATTTAATGTTTAATTGATAATTATAAAAAGTGATTACTTAAGGAATAATGAGGTAGTATTAAAATATTAGGGGGAATGTATAAAATGAGGGTGGGGCAATTGGAATAGCTATTTTTTGTGATATCCAAATTATACCTCAGTAAAATTGTTTAATATGTGTTACTTGGGGGAAAATGTTCAATAAAAGAATATGCTGTCTTTATATTATTCCAAGTAACATACTTTAAGTTAAAACTCTTAATAATATTCTGATAGGGTTTGTTTTTATTTCATCGAGACAATGGTGTCTCAATGAAACAAGCCCAAACTGATCTTGAACTCCTGAAGCAATTCTCCCACTTTGGCTTTCCTAATAACTGGGACTATAGGCACACACCACTGTACCCAGCATATTCCAGTGGTTTTAATTGACTTACACTGTAATTTCCATATTTTAAAAGTTAACTCTCCCTCATGGGAAAATAGCCAAGATGATTTCAAAGATTATATTGGAGAGGATACAGCAGAAATTGTCTTACTAGGGCTGCAGTATTTTAAAGCTCGGAACAGACAGACCATTGAAATAGAATGTAGAGTCCAGAAATAAAACTGTACTTAATTTGGGAAAATGGTGGTGGCCAGGAGACGAAGAATTGTTCATTGGGTCAGGGTCGGGGGATTGGTTGATGATATAGAAAAAAGTAACAACCAATCCCTCTTTTACCTAGTGAAATAGATTCCTCAACAAGTAGATCCCCCAAATATGGCAAACAAAACGAACTGATATTTTAAAAAGGAAAAGAAGAAAAATCATGGCCTCAATGTTTAGAACTGATGACACAACCCACCTCCCACAGAGTAAAAGATGTTTTAATGTAACTTTAATTCAGTCTGTCTGCAAGTCAAAAGACATCAATAAGCAAGGTGAAAATACAAACCACAAATTGAGAAAAGATATTTGTAATTCATAAAACCAATAAAAGATTGGTGTCAGAATAAATGAAGAACTTTTACAAATCAGATAAAGAAACTTGAAATTTGTCTTCTGTGGGCAGCTCACAGAAGAGGAATCCTAAGTAGTTTGGAAAGAAAACAAGATTGCTCAATAATGACAGCAGGATATAATTTTATACTCATCAGATTGACAAAAAAGTTAATCCCTAATACTATCAAGTTGTTGAGTATTCCATACCAGAAGTATGTTTTAGTCCATTCAGGCTGCTGTAATAAAATACTTTGGATAGGGTCAATTTGTAAATAATGGAAGTCTATTTCTTACATTCTGGAGCCTAAGAAGTTCACAATCAAGGCACCAGCCTGTTAAGTGTGTCTCTGCTTTTGGATGCTGCCTTTTGCTGCACTCTCTCATGGCAAAAGGAGCTATGGGATTAACTGGCTCCCTTAAGGGCTCTTGATGAGGTCACTAAGCCCCTCCTATCATCTTTGGGGTTAGCATTTCAATATGAACCATTCAGACAGCAGAAATATAGGATTACAAAGGAAACTGTATTAAAAGTTATCAAAGTTTTTAAAAAGTTATGACACAGCAGTCATTTAATGCATGGTGAGATCCAGTAGTAAGTCTAATAACTATCATTTCAAATTAATGGTTTTTGAACAAATTAATGCATGATTTTTGAACAATCTGTAACCATTTGTTATGTGACATGAAAATATCTAGGTCTGTTGGTGACAAAATTCACAGGTCATGCTGAATGTCATTAGTTGTTTACATTTGTAATTACAGGGTATGTTAAATTTTAATTCAACATTAAAAAATAAAGATTTATTTTCATACAAGTTTATGAGCCTACTTTAAATGAATCTGTGGACTATACATTAAGAAATACTATTGTAAGACCTGGGGTTGTAGCTCAGTAGTAGAGCACTTGCCTAGCTTGTGCGAGGCCCTGGGTTTGATCCTCAGTACTGCATAAAGATAAGTAAAATAAAGGTATTGTGTCTATCTACAGCTGAAAAAGAAAAGAAAGAAACATATTCTATGGACAGTTATATATACATGCTCAAGAAAATTAATGTTGCAACATTGTTGCAGTATTAGCAACAAATAAGATTCCTCAGTGATTACACAAATTATGATATATTCAGGTGTTTCATATGATATATAAAACCCCAGATGGCTTAATTCAGGATAGTGGTAATACAAGGGTAAAGAGTAGGAATAAGGAGGGCAAGCTACTCACAGAGGGGTCTTTAAGCTAAATCTATAATGTTGGATTATTTAACAATACAACAGACATTATTTTATGTATGCTAAGACAGAGTTTCAATTTTAATTCTCAGAACAATTTAGTTTGTCAAGGGACAAATAAATTAAATGTGATTTTCTCCTACTTTATCTAAGAAATTATTCCTGTGAAGTATCAGGTACTTTAAACATCTGATGAAAGCATACCTGTGAGTTTCTGTAAGTTTCACAATAATTCTGTGAGTGATGTTATATATTCATAAAGAAAATTCTAATTAATGCAAAGATAGAACTGTAATTTTTATTTGAATCTGTCTCTAAAACCTACACCCCTCCATGTCATTAAATTGATTGTCTCTAGCAATTGACAACCAATTTTGAAAATTAAAAGTTAACTGTACCTTATAAAATGAGATTGTGTCCGAGGCACAAATTAACAGTAGAGACACTAAAATAATCTCAAGCATGACTTTATCATCCAAACTTTTCTTAAGCACACCTTAACCTGATTGAACCTAGAGGCACTTAACCAGTGAGCCACTTTCCCAACCCTTCTTTGTATTTTCATTTAGAAACAGGGTCTAAGTTGCTGAGGGCATTGCTAAATTGTTGAGGCTGACTGATTCTCCTGCCTCAGCCTACTATGAGGCCCGTGGCTTTATAGGCCTGCATCGCCCTGCCCAGTTGTTCTCTTACTGTTAAGACAGACTAATAACTGTAATTAGTAATGTTAGTGTTTCTGTTTTATTTTAATGCTGTTGATCAAGATTTAGCACATACTTAGCATTTAACTCTGTGACATGTGTTTGTTTTATCATTTTAAACTACATTCTGTTTTGTTTTTTGATTTTAGGATCGAAAGTTAACAAAATCTGAAAGGCAGAGATTTAAAGAAGAGGCTGAAATGTTAAAGGGTCTTCAGCATCCCAATATTGTTCGATTCTATGATTCCTGGGAATCCACAGTAAAAGGAAAGAAGTGCATTGTTTTGGTGACTGAGCTTATGACATCTGGAACACTTAAAACGTAAGTCCATCAGTATTATAAAAGTTGACCAAGAAGTGTGAGAGGATTTGATTTTTCTTATTTTAGTCCTTATATTAAGGAAGGAACAATCCTTTCAAACATTATTATACTTGCATATTTTGTATCCACAGAGTTCTATGATATATAAAAGTGAATTGATAATTACTTATTGGTAACTATTGAAATGAGAAGTTATTGCAGAATAAACCTAGTCATTTTAAGTCATTGATGGTGTTTCTAAAACTAAGGTGCCAGAAATCAGATGTTAAGATAGCCCTCTAGTGGTTAAAATGAGAATGAAATTTATTGGAGAAGTGCCCTGCCCCCTACCTTTTGAGTACTGGGGATTGAACTCAGGGACACTCAACCACTGAGCCACATCCCCAGCCTTATTTTGTATTTTAGTTAGAGACAGGGTCTCACTGAGTTGCTTAGCACCTCACTTTTGCTGAGGCTGGCTTTAACTTGTGATCCTCCTGTCTCAGCCTCCCAAGCCACTGGGATTACAGGCGTGCACCATGCCTGGCTACAAAGGCCCACATTAAAAAATCACTTTCATACTGTTTTTTTTTTTTTTTTTTTTTTTTTTTGCTACAGCTATGCAACTGTTATATCAGCTGAAAATTATACTATGCAATATCACTCAAGATTACTTTTAATTTGATGTCTGGTAGTGTCAGAAATTAAAGGCAGAATACCTAAACCTGTCATCCCTCACAGGGAAACAGCATGCAAAATTCCCTGTTACCCATTGCAAATAACTTTAGGTAAGAGTTGGTCTCTTAATCTATTTGTACTGAGGATCATATTGTAAATTATGTGGTATTAGTTTGTTATAGAGAAACTGGATTTATATATATATACACACACACATATCTTGTATTACTTTTTAGTTAGTACTACTGAACTGATTAATTCCAGATCTTTTTTTTTTTTAATTGGACTTTATTTTGTTCATTTATTTATATGTGGTGCTGAGAATCGAACCCAGTGCCTCACACATGCCAGGCAAGCGTTCTACTACTGAGCCACAACCCCAGTTCCAATTCCAGATCTTTGAAACACAGTTTATATCGTCTTTTATGGTTACTTGCATGTGGCCTTGAATACTCTAGATTAATATGTTGAAAAGCCAAACAGATTTTCTCCCCCTGAAAATTCTTAATATCTTCAACCAACTTCTCTGACTTTTGTTTTATGGCAACATCTTTTTCCTACTCATCCAGACTTCTTGTTAATCACATAACTCTTTCTTCCACTGGACTGTGTCACCTAACATTGGATCTAAAACTTGATAAATATTTGAATGAATTAAGAACAGTGGCTGGGTGCAGTGGCATACTCTTGTAATGCCAACAGCTCAGGAGGCTGAGGCAGGGGAATTGCAAGTTCAAAGCCAGCCTCAGCAAAAGTGAGGTGCTAAGCAACTCAGACCCTAACTCTAGATAAAATACAAAAAAGGGCTGGGAGGGTGGGGTGTCTCAATGGTCAAGTGCCCCTGAGTTTAATCTCTGGTACACACACACACACACACACACACACATATACACACACAAATAGTGGAGTAATTGTATGTATGTCTATATCTTGAGATTCTTTTCACTGATAGAATATAAGGCATGCTTAAGAGTACCCAACAATGGTTTACTTGTTTAAAACACCATGTTGAGACACTTGGGGTAATGCATTGAGCTGAGCACCTGTGGAATGGATGACCTCCACCAATAAACTAAAATGTAAAATATAATATATATATGCTGTTTCAATACATACCCCAAGCTTCAAAAGGAAAGGGTAACCTCCAGATAAAAAGCAAAGAGAAGATAACTCAGAGCCAAATCAGAAGCTGATGTCTCAGTGGTCTATTGGGATTTCATACCAGACATTGATGCTTAAGGAGTTTTACTATGGTTTTAATGTCCATTTAAGGACAAAAAGTCTTAGAAATCAGTAGAGAAGGGAGCTGGAACTTAGCCTGTGTCAAAAACAAACAAACAAAAACTCTAAACTCACTAATACACAAAAAGGAGAACTCAGCCAGTGAAAACTACAAAGAATTTTGCCCAAGACTGTGGATAAGAGGGGAGTCTATGAAAAATAGAAATTTGTATTTTTTCCCCATTTGCCTCTCTGCATGCTACCAATATTTGAGTTATTGTATATTCTACCACTTCATATGTAAATGGTTCTATGATATGCTTATAGTACCTGGCTGGTGCAGGAAACCCCAGCCAAGGAATGCATATCATATTGATCCAGAACACAAAAAACCTCCCAGGTTCATTTTCATAGTTCACTGGTCCCACCATCCATGGACAAAACAGTTTCCAAAGAAAATGATCTCACAATAAAAGTATAAATCACACCAATAAAGATGAACATACAGAATGATAGAGTAGCATTGCAGCAATTAAAGATACCATGGACAAGAATAAAAGTAATGATATAATAAGTATTTATATAAGGATGTCAGTGAAGATATATGAAAGTATATAAAGTATAAAAAGAAGGCATGGAAGCCATAAGGAGATAATAAAAAGAAGGCATAGAAGCCACATAAGGATTTCATTAAAGCGGGGGGAGGACAAACATAATTGAAAAAGATCAGAAGAACTTCTAAAATAAGAAAAAAATCATTAAAATTAAAAATTCAGGGTTTAGCAACAGTAAATTAGTAAACAGTAAATAAGAGTAACAGAAATCCGAATGCAACAGAAAGCAGAAAAAGAGAATGAGATGTGGATTGAAAATGCCTATTAGGTTTAATTATCATTTTAAGGAATGAGAAAAAGCAATATTTGAGAAGGCAATGATTTATATTGATGACTTCTAATCATGTTTTGGAGGATCATTATGTTATAGCATGTGTCAATACTTCATTTTCTTTTATGACTAATATTCCACTGCATAGAAATTCCTCATTTTGTCTATTCATTGGCTGATTCACACTGGGGATGTTTCTACCTTTGGCTGTTATGAATAGTGCTGCTATGGTATACATGCTATCAGCTCTTTGGAATATATGCCTAGGAGTGGAATTGCTGAGTCATATTGTGAATTCTAAGTTTTAACTTTTTTTTTTTTTTTGCGTTGCTAGAAATTGAGCCTTGGCTTCATTCTCTACCACTGAGCTATACACTGAGCCCTGGTTTAACTTTTTGAGAAACTACCAAACTTGGTTTTTGTTTTTAATGGCTGTCTTATTAGATCTCTTTATGGATTTGATTTGAATTTCCCTGATAATGTTGTTTCACTCTTTTTAGGCTTATTGGCCATTTTTATATGTTCAGAAAAATGTTCAATTCCTCTATCCACTTTTTTAAAAAAAATTTTTTAGTTGTAGATGGACAATACCTTTATTTATTTATCTTTATGTGGTGCTGAGACTCAAACTCACACATGCTAGGCGAGCGCTCTACCACTGAGCCACAACCCCAGCCCCCCACTTTTTAAAAAAAATAACTATTTATTTGTGGGTGCTGAGGATCGAACCCAGTGCCTCACTCATGATAGGCAAATACTCTACTTTCTTTTTTTTCTTTTTCTTTTCTTGAGTAACCACCTTAGTGTTTGCCATTCTGATTCTACTAATTTACACTTCTACCAACAGTATATAAGGAGTCTCTCTTATTCACGTACTTGCCTGCATTTGGTCTTTTGTCTTTTTGATAATAGCCACTCTAACTTGAGCAAGGTGATACCTCATTGTGGTTTTGATTTGTACTCCCCTACTGATTAACAATACTAAGGTGTTTTTGTTGGTTTGTTGGATATTGGGGATTGAACCTAAGGGCACTTGACCCCTGAACTACATTTCCAGTTCTTTTTATTTTTTATTTTGAGACAGTGTCTCACTAAATTGTTGAGGTTCTTGATAAGGCCCTGAGGCTGGCCTCAAACTTGTGATTCTCCTGTGTCAACTGCCTGCGTCACTGGAATTACAGGTGTGCACCACAGTGCCTGGCAATATTGAATATTTTTTCAAATAGCTGTTGACTATTTGTATGTCTTTTGAGAAATGCTTGAATAAGTTTATTGCTTTTTCGGGGGGCGAGGGGTGGTTACTGGTAATTGGACCCAGGACACCTTACCACTGGGCTACCCTCCCTGTTCTTTTTGTTTTTTATTTGAGACAGGTCCTTACTAAGTTACTTAGGGCCTCACTAAGTTTCTGAGACTGGCCTTGAACTTGTGATACTCCTGCCTCAGCCTCCTGAATCTGTTAGGATCATAGGCGTGCGCTGCCCTGCCTGGCAATTCCCCCCCTTTTTTTTTAATTTGTCCTTTTTAGATATACATTACAGTAGAGTGTATTTTGACATACATACATGGAGTATGACTTATTCTAAATAAGATCTCATTCTTGCAGTAGTACATGATGTGGAGTTATACTGGTCGATATTCAAATATGAACATAGGAAGTTATGTCCAGTTCATTCTACTGTCTTTGATATTCTATTCCTCTTCTCTTCATTTCCCTTTGTCTTATCCACTGGCAGTTGCCTATATTTTAATCAGAATCTTTGCGCCGGGAGTGGGGGGGGGCTTATTGTGTTAATTTCTCAAATAGTTGGAAATTAAACCCTTATCAGATCTATAGTTTGCAATATCTTTTCCCATTCTGTAGGTTTCCTATTTATTTTGTTGATTATTACCTTTGCTGTGCAAAAGCTTTTGTTTGATGTATCATCTGTGTTTTTCTTCTAGTGATTTCATGGTTTCAGGTCTTACATATAAGTCTTTAATCATTTTTAGTTTATTTATATGAGGTACTATGGATTGAACCCAGGACCTCACACATGGCAGGCAAGTGCTCTGCCACTAGGCCACAGCTCCAGCCCCCTTAATTTTATTCTTCTGTGTGTGGATATCCAATTTTCCCAGCAATTTTTACTTAAGACTGTACTTTCTCCAGTGCTTGTTCTTAGCACTTTGTCAAAAATAACTTGGCTATAGATGTGTGGGTTTTCTTTTAGGCTATTTCTCTTCCATTGTTCTGTGTGTCTATATTTATACCAGTAGCATGCTGTTTTGATTATTGTACCTTTATAATATGTTTTGAAGTCACGTAGTATAATGCCCCCTGCTTTGTTCTCTTTGCTCTAGATTGCTTTGGCCCTTCAGAGGGTGTGTGTGTGTTTACATAAAATTTTAGGATTTTTTTCCCTAGTTCTTTGAAAAATATCATTGATATTTTGATAGTGATGGTATAATATAGTGATTGCTTTGAGTATATGGACATTTTAACAAAGTTGATATTTCCAATTCAGGAACAAGGGGTGTTTTTCCAATATTTTGTGTTGTCTCTTCAGTTTCTTTCATCAATGCTTTTGTAGTTTTCAGTGTGTAGTTTTGTTGTCACTTCTTTGGCTATATCAGATTTCAAGGCTTTGTTTTTGTAGTAATTGTAAGTGAAATTACGTTGTTGAATTTTTTTTTTCAGATAATTCAGTGTTTGTGTATAAAAATGCTGATTTTTTTTATATGTTGATTGTTTTCTGCAACTTTGCCAAATTCATTTATTAGTTTTAATGGTTTCTTTTAGAGTCTTTGGGGCTTTCTAGGTCTAAGATCATGCCATCTGCAAATAATGACAATCTGACTTCTTCCTTTTCAATTTGGATACTCTTTTTCTTTCTTTGGTTTGGTTTCCATATCTGGGATTTCCCATACTAGGTTGAATAAAAGTGGAAGTGGGCATCCTTCTCTTATTGCAGGTCTTAGAAAGTTTTCAGCTCTTCCCCATTCAATATGATGTTAGGTGTGGACTTTTTATATGTAACCCTTATTAGGTTGAGGTATAATGCTTCTATTCCTAATTTGTTCAGAGTTCTTAAATATGAAGGGAAGTCAGTTTTATCAAATGCCTTTTCTATATCTACTGAGATGATCATATGGTTTTTGTCCTTCATTTTGTTGATGTGGTGTATCACGTTTATTGATCTGTGTATGTTGACATGTCCTTGAATCCCTGGGATGAATCCCAATTGAACATGATCTGTCTCGGTAAAGTGTATATGATTCAGCAGGAATTTGTCCATTTTGTCTATGTTATTAAATTTGTTGTGTGTTCCTAGTAGTCTTTTATGATCTTTGCGTTTTTTTAAAATATTTTTTTAGTTGTCAATGGACCTTTATTTATTTATATGCGGTGCTGAGAATCGAACCCAGGGCCTCACATATGCTAGGCAAGCATGCTACCACTGAGCCACACAACTCTAGCCCATGATCCTTTGTATTACTGTGTCAGTGTAATAACTCCTTTTTGTTCTGACTTTTGCTGTTGTTTAGTCTTTTTTTTTTTTTAATCTCTCTAGAGTTTATCAGTTTGGTTTATTTTTGTTTTTTGATTTCGATAGTACTGGGGATTGAACTCTGGACAGTCTACCACTAAATTATATCCTCAGCTCCTTTAATTTTAAAGACAGAGTCTCATTAAGTTGCTGGAGTTGCCCTCAAACTTTAGATCCTTTTTTCTTGCCTTCCTAAGTCAGTAGGATTATATGTGCACCAGCACACCCAACTGGTTTATATTTAAAAAAACAAAACAATTTTTTTTATTAATCTTTAATTTTTTTGTCTTTATTCATTTATTTCTGTTCTTCATAGTTTCTTCTACTTGTTTTTGGTTTGGTTCTTGTTTTGTTTAGTTCCTTGAGGTATGTTGATAGGTTTTTAATTTGCGATCTTTCCGCATTTTTGATGTAGGCATTGAATTTATATAAATTTACCTCTTAGTACTGCTTTTGCTACATCCGATACATTTTGGTATGTTATGTCCATTTTTGTTTATTCAAGACATTTAAAATTTTCTTTTTAATTTCTACCTACTAATTGTTCAGAAGTAAGTTAGTTTCCATGTTTTTATATAGTTTCCAAAGTTCTTTTTGTTTTTGAGTTCTAGTTTTACTGCATTGTGGTTGAAAGAAATACTCGGATTTTAATTTTTTTAAACAGTTGAAACTTTTTTGTGTGGCCTACTATATGATGTATCCTGGTGAATGTTCCATGCTATTTAAGAGAATATGTACTCTGGTCTTAAGGTGAAGTTTAACTTTGCTGTTTCTTTGATTTTTCTGCCTGTATGTTATGTCTATTGCTGAAAAGTTTGGTGTTAAATTTTTCTTCTATGTTGTTAAAGCCCCCCCCCCTCCTTTAGGTGTATTAATATGTGCTTTATGTTTAGGTGCTCTGATATTGGATGCATATGTATTTATAATATTTTAATGTATTTTTAATCTGTAAAATCTACCTTCTGTTAGTTTTTTTTAGTTTAATTTAAATTTTTTTTTAGTTGTAGTTGGACACAATACCTTTATTTATTTGTTTGTTTAATGTGATACTGAGGATCGAACCCAGCACTTCACACATGCTAGGCGAGTGCTGTACCGCTGAGCCACAGCCCTTTTTGTCAGTGTAATAACTCCTTGCAAATGAAATAGAATTTCAGTTTAGTTCCACTGGTAGCTTTTCAGGTTTTTTTCAAAAATTGAATTATTACTGTAGAGATTGCATTTATATTCTTAACTCTTCACAATTTAGTGTTCATACTGTACATTTTCATGTAAAATATAAAAAAACCTTTACACAATTCATTATTCTTATTCCTTTTGATTCTTGTTCTTGATACTGTGATTTTCATATAATGCACTTACATATTTTATAGGCCCTCCCAAAGTGTTAGATTTTCCTTTAAGTAGTCTAATATATTTTAAAGATGGTAAGAGGAAAATCTAATCTTGTATGTTTAACATTATTAGTGCTCTTCATTTTCCCCCTTTATGTTTCCAATAAAATGTGCATCAGAATGCATTCCCCAGACTGTATCTTATCTGCAGTGGGTAGCATTAGAAATTTCTATTCCTTTCTGCTAGTGTTGCCTGGGTTGCATAGACTGTGTCTCAAATATACGTATTTCAAAGGTCAACTAGAGATTTGGGCAGAGAGAATATGCAGAATCTGCTTCTACTTTTTGGAATTTTCTCCTTTCAAGATTTCCACTGTCAATAGAACTTTCTGAGGTGATGGAAATTTCCTAATATATGCATTGTCTAAAAGTGTACCAATTGTTACATGTGGTTTTTGAGTATTTGAAATGTGGCTATTGAAACTGAGAAACAGAATTTTTTATTTTAGTTACTCTACATTTAAATGTAAATTGTCACATTTGGATAGTGGATACTTTCTTGAGCTGACTGTCCTGGCAGAGTTCTGGTGGACAACAATGTCTTTGATGCTGCGGATCCTAAACTGTCTTTTCTTATCTGGATTTTAGCTGACCTTATAGTCATACTGGGACCTTCTCTCCAGTGAAAAGGTATAGAAAGTAGGAATCTCAAGCATTGCTTTTCCTCATCCTTGATTGAATTCACCTCCAAATTGTGACTGAGTTTGATTGCTCTCCAACACCATCAAATCATTGTTTTGTATACTTTTTACTAGAATTTATGAATACATTTACAACAATTAGGAGCTGCATCATTACCAGAAGTAGAACTCTACCTCTTAGTCATTGTAATAGGCAGAACTAACTTTAAGGAATTCATTTTTGTGTTTTGTTATTAAGATTTTCTTTCCAACTGCTAATTAAATATTTTGTTCTCTAAAATAGTTGGTTATTGCTAATGCTGATACAGCCAACTTGATCTCCTATTCGTTTACAAAAAAAGTTAGTTACCTAATACTGTAGCTGTTCAGATGAAAAAGTACTTAGAAGAATTATTTTTCTGTTTTTTTTAATAGAATTTTTATTTCAAACTCTTTAACCTTTCTAAAAGTATCGCTAATCAGGTTACTGAATCTTAATATTCTAAATTTGATATTCCCATCTCAAGTATGCTAGAATTTAATGGAATTCTTCAAAGCAACACTCATATCATTGATAACCTTTTTGGTGTACTTTCCTTTTCCAGGTACCTGAAAAGGTTTAAAGTGATGAAGATCAAAGTTCTAAGAAGCTGGTGCCGGCAGATCCTTAAAGGACTTCAGTTTCTTCACACTCGAACTCCACCTATTATTCACCGGGATCTTAAATGTGACAATATCTTTATCACTGGCCCTACAGGCTCAGTTAAGATTGGAGACCTTGGCCTGGCAACTCTGAAGCGAGCTTCTTTTGCCAAGAGTGTGATAGGTATGTTTCAAGTGTACCTTGGAGCCTGTCTAGCCTTCTGACATTACTTCTGTTTAGACACCTGACCCTGTCAGAACTTTTCTGACATGAAATAAACCTTCAGAAATTTATAGCTTGAACCTAGAAGGTGATAATTTCTACTTATGAGATGTGGGGTTCTGTATATTTATGCTTTTATAATTATTTTTAAGATTATTCGTGTTTTGTAAATTACATGGGGGGAAGTAAGGTGAACTTTTGTTGACAAAACGTCATGTATCAACCTTATTGAATCAATCTCTCGATACTTAATATTTTGTGTACTATTTATATAGTATGTTTAGTATATCACTTTCTTTGTTAATGAAATATAGTTTGACATAAAAAATGTACATTGGGTATGTATTTGAAAAGACCTGCCTTTTTAAAACTTTACTTAAATATATGAAAATATGACAGTTTATTCTGAAAAGTTGATTTTATATATTATTTTCTAACTTCCACTCTTCCAAAATTACAAGTATCCAAAATAGATTTTTCAACCTTAGTACTATGGACATTTGGGGCTGGAAAATTGTTGTAAGGAACTGTCTTGTGCATTTTAGGATTATTTATCAGCATCCTTCTGCTTTTTACCCACAAAATACCAGCAGTAACACCTTCTGTCCACCTACCCCTAGTTGTTATAATAAAAAATGTTTGCAGACATTGATCTGTGGGGGAAAAAACTGTTCCTTCTTGAGGATAAATGATCTGAAGAATAAGGCTATCCTTTCAAACTTTTAATCACATGTTAGTCATAACTGAAAAAAAATGTTTTTAGCTCTCTGAAGCAATTATCATAATTTAACTTGAAACCTTCACAGACAGTTTACTTCACGCCACACAAAAAGGGCATAATAGTGAAAAAGAAATTAACTGATTATTAAGTAGGTTGAATCCTAAGTATTAATAGGAAAGGCAAATTACTGATGTAATTTGCTCACAACAGTGTGCTCCTTGGAATGTTAGTAACTAGGATTTGAAATGCTATCTTTACATTTTCTTATAATAATTAACATGATGAATGGAAAAAAGTTATTTGAAGCTGATTTCCTTTTTGACATCTTCACCAGAAATCCCTGGCCCAAGATAATTTTTATTTTCTTTGTTTTTACCTAATGGAAGACTTAATTATTCAAAAGCATTGCAAAACCTAGTCCTGTGGGATCACACACTCTTGCCCATAAACCAGTCTGTATTTGAGTTCTGTATTTGTGCATGCATATATTTGGGTTTTTTTTTTTTTTTTTTTTTTTCCTCTAGGATGTCCCTCACTCTATTTCCTGTATCTGCAGTATGTTTGTATACTGCAGGTTTAATGGTAAGTATGTGAAATAAAGGGCTCCAGTGAGTGACCTTTATAATCAATTGCATTTTATTTTATTATCTTTAAAATAATGTATTGAACATTGGTTTTTCACTTCAAGGCCTCCTTTAAAAGTGAAAATGATTAGGTGTAGTGTTAATGACATGAGACTTATCTGTAAATGTTCACTTTACAGTTACTGTACAGTAGGGGGCAGACAAATACTTAATCTTTTTTAATCCATCATATATAAGTAGAAGCCATTATATCTGCTTTGTTCCCTGCTAGTTTCTTACCACTTCCTTCCATTTACTTTCTATATGTTATATTAGTTTATCTCTTAGCCAAGACTGTGCTCTGACATTGAATTATAGGGATCCATTTTAAACCATACATAAATAATCAGTTATTGACCCTGTTAAGTTTCTTATAAAGGCCTTACAGTGGAAGATCTTCTATGAGATATTGGATGGAATAGACTGACTATGAAGATGTCCTTCCTCTTTTTCCTCTCCCAATTTCTTCTCTCTCACAGGTCAACCCCAGTGCTTCTTCCCCTTGGTGAGTAACAACTGCGCCTTCTGCTTGCATTGAGTCTGAATCGTTCTTTTAATTTAAGGTACTCCAGAGTTCATGGCCCCTGAAATGTATGAGGAGAAATATGATGAGTCCGTTGATGTTTATGCTTTTGGGATGTGCATGCTTGAGATGGCTACATCTGAATATCCATACTCGGAATGCCAAAATGCTGCGCAGATCTACCGTCGAGTGACCAGTGTAAGTCTTTCTAACTGTTAAAGGTACCCAAGCTCCGTAACATTCAACCATGCCAAAGGGAACAGTAGTACAAAGTATACCAAATAAGATTTTGGGAGGGGGAAGTGTTGAGGTATGTGCAAGGCATGTGAGGGCAAAGATAAAAGAACTACCAATTTATTCTATTCCTCCTTGCATTCTCTTAAAACTTTATTATGAGACATACTTTTTTTTTTCAATTTTATTTTTTACTTTTAGGAGGACACAATATCTTTATTTTACATTTACATGGTGCTAAGGATCAAACCCAGTGCCTCATGCATGCTAGCTGTGCACTCTACCACTGAGCCACGACCCCAGCCCCCGACATACTTTATTTTTAAAACCATACTCTCATCACCTACTTTGCAATCCCCTATTAATTCATCTGAGCTCTCATTCCCTCCTACTGCATACATAGCTTAGTGCTTTGTCAGATTAATTTGTTCACAGATTTTTCTCTGAATGGCTTGATTCAGAGAAATGTTAATTTATTAAATTGTATGTTAATTTATTAAATTGCATATGACTACCCACAATAATTAAGGTATAAATTAATAGCTTACTATGGTTTAAATTATCCATGATAGTTCATGAATGCTGACAGATTATTTCTTTGAGCTATCCAGTTAAAACCTGAAATCTAGTTGTTTAGGGCTTATCATTTCATTTTACCAGTTATGTACTTCATCATCTCTAAAAAGATACAGTTCTCTTCTAACATACCCATATTATACCAGAGAAAATTAACACTAATTTCTGGATCGTATACCCTAAATGTATTCAGATATTTTCCCCATTGTTTCAGTGATATCTATTTAGAGTTCATCTTTAAAATAGGTTCCATCAAGGCTCACAGAAGATATTTTGTTGTGTTTTAGCCTGTTACCTTCATTTTCTGTATGCCATTATTAATTCACTGAAGAATTTAGATTAATTATTTTGAGGAATGTCATAATTCTGAATTTATCTGTTTGCTTCTTACAGTTTAACTTTTATTCTTTTCTCCATATTTCTGTAAAGAGAAGTTTGTCTTAAAATAGTCATGTCAATGATGTAAATCTAAGTTTTTTCCTTTTATTGGCACTTACTTGAGTATACAGTGTAGTTTTCTAGAAATTGCAGAAGTTGTCATAGATACATTTGTCTTCTATTAAACCATACATTAAAAAGAAAAGCAAAAAGCTATTTTTCGTTTGGAAAATATTGGAGTTTAAAATTTTAAATGTTTTATATTATAATATACTTTCACACAGTTTCTAAGTTTTAACTTCTAACATGGTAAATATCATTAGTTACAACATACAAAAACCTGCGGGATCCCCAATAATTTTACGAGTGCAAAGCATTAACAGAAGTTTTGAGAGCTACTATTCAAAAAGCCGTGACAAAATTTAGGCTAGACAAGAGCAACTAAAAAGAGGAAAGATTTATTTTGGTTCAGTGTTTCAGGAGATTCTGTCCATGGTCAGCTGGCTCCAAAGCAGAAACATGGCAGAAGAGCATGGGGGAGGAAAGCTGCCCAGCTCACAGTAGCCAGAAGCAGAGAGAAGAAGGGATCTGGAAAAGAAAAACCTTTCTAGGGCCTGCCCCTAGTAAACTGCTTCCTCCAACTAGTTTCTACCTCCCCGTAGTCTGTTCTGCTATTCATAGATTAACGCGTTGCTTGCTTCCTTACCTGATTGAGTGGTAGCTAGATAGATATACAGAAACATAAATACATGCTTAGAGATGGAATACAGGGTTACTTTACCATTAAGCTGCATCCCCAGCACTTTTTTTTTGGTACTGGGGATTGAACCCAGGGGCACTTACTTTACTACATCCCCAGTCCTTTTTCAGAGGGACCAGGGGTGGGGAGGTGAGAAGTGCTGGGGAGTGGCATTGGCCAAATTATATTATTGTGTGCATATATGCACACAATAATATAATTTGATTAAAATATAGTTTGATTAAAAACAAATCACGGGGCTGGAGTTGTGGCTCCAGAGGTAGAGCACTCGCTTGGTATGAGTGAGGCACTGGGTTCCATCCTCAGCACCACATAAAGTAAAATAAATACATTATGTTCACCTATAACTAAAAAACAAATATTAAAAAAGAAAAACAAATCACAGCATTATGTACAACTATAATGCACCCCTTCAAAAAAAAGAATCCCTCTAGCCCCCCCACCCCACCCCCCACCCTTGCCCCAGACAAAAGATGAAGACTAACAAAAGATGATATTAAGAATTTTATGCTAGACATTGTGACTCATGCCTATAATCCCAGCTACTGAAGAAGCTGAGGTGGGAGGATCACAAGTTCCTGGCCAGCCTGAGTTATTTAATAAGACCCTGTCTCAAAATTTTAAGAAGATAGGGGATATAGCATAGTGGTCTAAGGCCTTGGCTTCAACTAAAAAAAAAAAAAAGGAATTTAATTTATACTGGTTTTGATATAAGCAACCCGGAAGATTTTTTTGTTTTATTTGTTTTGTATTGGGGATTGAACCCAATGGCACTTAACCACAATACCAAAAAGAGATAGCAAGAAAGTTCAACCAGTTTAAGTGAAATGAAAATATAAATTCATAACATAAAATACTTCTGTGTAAGATAACACACAGTATGAAGTAAGTTAGATGTGAAATCAGATCTTGGCAATGAGAATAAATAAGGCTTGCATCTAAGAGGTATTCTAAATGAATAACTCAGGTAATTAAAGATGAATAACATATATATTCCCTGTCCTCAGGACACTAATATAGAAGATAAATGTGTAAACATAGTGAGTACTTTAATGAAGATAGTCACTAAGAACATTGGAAACAAAATGCTTAACTCTACTATGCATTAGAAAGGGAGAAATAGTCATAAGAGTAAGAAGCTATTCTAAAAATGACAATAGTATGAATGCTGTAGTTTCAAACACCACCATAGTATACCTGAAGGAAAGGCAAATTGATCAAACAGAGTGAGGTGTTATCTTGTGATTAGAAGGGAAAGATACGAACCAATCATGATGTTACATTCCTGTAATCTCAGCTACTCAGGAGACTGAGTCAGGAGAATTACAAGTTGGAGACCAGCCTGAGCAACTTAGTGAGACCTTGTCTCTATTGAAAAGGGATTTGGGTTGTGGCACAGTTGTAGAGCACTTACCTAGCATGAGCAAGGTCCAGTACCATTAAAAAAAAAAAAAAAAATCTATCACTAAGATTTCCCCTAATTTAAATCTTGTCTCCTGTCAGAGCAAAGGTTTTAGGTATCACTAATTAGGAGGTAAACTTGTAACTCTCCATATATATTTTTTTGCTGTTTATTATGTTATTTTGTTTTAAATATGACCTTAGATTTTTGGAAGGAGAAAGGAAGAAACAAGTTGAAATTATGGCAGTGGGAGGCTGGGGTAACTAATTGATACAGGAATGTCTAGGTTTCAGTGAGATCTGGAGCCTGATATAATGGACATGATAAAGGAAGGGGTTTTTTTTTTTGTTTTTTCTCTTTGAGATGAGGTCAGGTATTATGACGTTTTGGGGGGACAAAAAATTAGCTTTACCATCTGCCTATCCCCCGGTATGATGGAACATGCCTGTAATCCCAGCAGCTCAGTAGGCTGTCACAAAGGGATCATGAGTTCAAAGCTAGCCTTAGCAACAGTGAGGCACTAAGCAACTCAGTGAGACCCTGTCTCTAAGTAAAATACAAAATAGGGCTGGGATGTGGCTCAGTGGTAGAGTGCCCCTGAGTTCAATCCCAATACCACCCACTCCAAAAATAAAATCTTAGCTTCATATCCCTGCTTCGCTTGTGTTGTCTTGAACAAGTCACCCAGTTTCCCTCTACTTTGTTTCTTTATCTGTTAAAAAAAGATACTCTTAACTCCCTTACAGATTGCTTACCTTATACTGCTACTGATAATAGTTCCTGGTTATTTTTTGTGAAATATGAGTAAAGTCGTCTTCTAAGGTATAGACTAAAAACAAAACAAAAAAAAATGTCTTTTAAGGATTAATAATAAAGTCTTAAAATAATGTTATGGATTTTGATCTACTCAGGAAATAATAATCATTGAGAAACAGCACCAAGCTCCAGAATTCCTCTTTAGTGTTGGTAAACACTGTTGTATAAATCATTCATTGTTTGTACTCATTTATGTGTATGTAAGGAGAAAAGACCAAGTTATCACTTATTTCTTAACAAACTATAGTAGCTTATATGCTTCCTTAGTTCTCAGAATTCTATATTCTCAGTTCTGTGTACTAAGGTTTGAAGAGTAGAATATAGTAAGCTATGTATGCAGTTGAGTTAGGCTTCACAGGAGAAAAATTAATTTTATTACTATCCTTTCCGCTTGACAAAGTTCATTTAATTTTTTTTGTTTTGTTTTTGGTACTGGGCATTGAACCCAGGGGCACTTGACCATTGAGCCATATCCTCAGCCCCCTCTCCCTTTTGTTTTTTATTCAAAGTTAGGGTCTTGCTGAGTTGCTTAGGACCTTGCTAAGTTGCTGAGGCTGGCTTTGAACTTATGGTTCTCCTGCTTTAGCCTCTCAAGCCACTGGGATTACAGGTGTGCACCACTGCACCCAGCCTCATTTATTTTTTCTATGTGCTAATTTACAAACTAGGACCAAGAAATATACTGTGAACATTAGCTTATTTTAAAAATTGTGGTTTGCATGGAGCTTACATTCACATGTGTAAAAAAAGGTGATAATTGTTAAAATTATAATAAGGTTTATATTTGGAATTGAGATATTGGGTTTGTTTGGTACCAGGGATTGAACCAGAGGGGCTTAATCACTGAGCCACTTCCCCAGCCCCTTTTATATTTTTTTTAGAGACAGGGTCTCACTGAGTTGCTTAGGGCCTCACTATATTGCTAAGGCTGGCTTTCAACTCTGGATCCTCCTATCTTAGCCTCCCAAGTTGCTGGGATCACAAGCATGCGCAGCTGGCTGGGTTCATTCTTTTGACAGTGAATTCAGTTAT